AAGCTTTTTTCCTATAAATTGTCTACTCTGAGTAATTGTTCCTTAATCGTTGTTGAATGAAGTTTGCGCAAGAGGTTATAATCTATTGGTTTATGCCATTTCCGGCTAACATAGCCCTTATTATATTGAATTCCTAATCATTCAATGTATTTCCATTCAAAAACGGTGATCCTTATCTTAGGGATGCGGAAGGAGAATATTATAATAAAGTTCGGGTATAACGCGCGACGTAATTGCGAAAAAAAATTAAAAAATTAAAAACGGGCAGACGTAACTGCTTCAAAAAAGATCCAATCATAAGGGTTTTTTTTCTTTTAAAATAAGTTGTTTATTTATTCAAACATTTACGTATTCATCTATTTATTCATTAAGCAACAACTTTGAATGTCCGCTTCAGCTGGTACTACTATTAGTATTATTTGTTACGGTACAATTTAACCGACAGAAAGAACAATCATTTTATTAAACAACTTGTAATATTCTTATCGAGTAGCGACTCTTAAAGGAAGTACAGTATTTATCCTAAATAAACTTATTTAATCCCATTAAAACCATCTCTTAGCTCAACCACTGACAAAATCTCACAGTTGTCTCCAAAGTTCCTCGAAATTATATCAACAATCTTCACAGTAGTTCTCCCTGTAGTCTTACTTGAAGGGCAGCCATCAACTGACTGAGCCATAAAAAATTTTAATTTTTAGATTTGTTTATTTCGATGAGTTTTGCCTGCAAATATAAGATCGTCCAGAAAATAAACTTATAACTTACACTCACGAAGAAGACTGGTGACATTTACAACTGCATGAGTGCTTAAACAATAATAAACAGAATGACCTTTACCTGCAGATCGTAACTCAGACCTATCACAACCGACTAATAGCTGTTAACTAAGTAATTGACTATTATTTCCAGTTTGCTGGATCCAGTTACCTGAGTTGTGCGATATTTCGATTCAAATTCAGCACAAGACTGCAACTCAACTGTCCATACAATGTCTATCTCACTTGATTTGACCTGTGAGCTCTTCCTTATGGAGGTGTCCTTTATCGAAGATAGAAAAACGATGTTCATCTTTCTTTTGAATCGTTCTTTGATCTGCAGATAGATGAGCGACATGAAATATGGTTCTTAGTACTCAGGTATTAATTGAAACACTACAACTTGATGATATGCAGTTAGTGTATAAACAGTTTTCTTTTCTTACCTGAGTGTTTCGCAGGGAGTGTAGAGCGAAAATCAGGAAACCCTACAGAATAAACATTCCTTTTTACAATATTTAAATAAACTAGGCAAATATATTTTAAGATTTACTTATGTATGAAGAGAAATCTAAGAAGAAAAGAAAATTGCGTGACCCATAAATGAGGAAGAAATCTGTTTTCTCTGGCATATTTAACAGCTTTTTGTTTTCATAACTCCAATAAATATCATGTAACAATTGTAATGTTGTATCGCCTGGTTAAAAAATTTAATCGAGATTGAATGATTTTTGAGAGAAGCCATTCAACACTCACCTGAGTAGAGTTGAGTATGGTGAAGATGTAGGCGAAAGCTTTATGTACTGGCGAAAGGAGACCAAATAGCCACGTGACACCCAGTAGGGGAATTATCACTAAGCATGCTTTGATGCCAAGTCTAGGAGTTAAAAACAACCAAAAAAACACCATTCTTTTTTTTTTCTTTTGACAAAAAATTGTAATTGTGAGATATCGGAATGCCTTCCTTATAAAGGAATGAGGAGGTTAGGCAAATATCGCCTCACAGGAGCAATCTTTTCCACTATTTAGTTTTAGTTTTATGATGTACATCTTACCGTATTTGCTGAAAATGGTTGTCTTCTGCTATTGGCTGCACCAAATTGGTGATCTCTTTTATAACGCGTACGAGTATCAAGATGTTGAGCTGAAGAATACAATAGAAATAAATTGATTATTTTACAAATGGTTGTCAAAAAGCCAAGGCAGGAGAGGATCCTTGCCAAAGACGTCATTTGTTTGGTAAGGAGAGTGGAATGAAGAGTCATTTACAGGGAAAAGAACTCTCAGCTAGGGTACCTAGAGTATGAGCTTGGATGCTCTGACAATGAGCTAAAGAAATCGCGAACAAAAGTGTTTAAACTAAATGAACTATGCAAAGTGAAGCCTCATGTTAAATTCGATAAATTCAATATCTTCTACTCTTCCTGCTCGTTTTATCTTTTTCAATGTTTTTATAATTATTAATTTTTTCAAATGAGTAACTTTAGCGCGAAAAACTCATCTTGGTATATCAATGCGAAACAGTGTTAGAAAATTAGCATGGAGGGTGGAGAAACTTTTTTTTACACTATGTAGTAAAAGTTGAAGCTATAATTTGGTGTTAGATCAAGGCAACAACTTCTACCTGATAAGTTTAAATATTCTCATCAGCTGTTTGCTGTTTAATGTAGGGATATCACAAGGAGAAGTTTCATGTTGATCACTTCTGGGAGTTAAAGGTTTAATCCGCTTTTTAAAGAGCAGAGAAAAAAAGTCTTTTGGCAGAAATTAGTCCAGGTGTACCAATCACAATCACCAACACGAATCATTAACTCACAACTTCAATGAAAGCCACAAAGGCGGCGAATATCCAGGTCAGGTTGTTAGTCGAGGAAAGCCAGCAACTAAACTCGAAGAAGTGAAAGACAAGAAAGAAAGCCAAATTTTCAGCGAATGAAATGATACCGATTTCAAACTATACACAAAAAAGCAATAAGAAACTGTTGAATTTCCTCACTATTTATCACTCGTATAGCTTTGTAACCCTTCTTTCCCGGCAACGATGCTAAGTGAAATGGCCACCATGATCACTGGAAGACCTACCCATAAAGAAAGGAAGGAAATCGAAACACTTCAATGGATGACAACAACAGATTTGGTGATCCGAAAGCATGCATGGTTATAGCTACAAGTGCATGCTGTAAAATAATAAACTCACCCCATGAGATGACGTGATACATGTGCATCTTGGTGTTGATGTTGTAAACTTTCACAACAAAGAAGTAGAGATAAATTGCCTCGATCAGCATCCAACAGAAAGCGGCCATGAAGAAATACTGCATCAGAGCTGCTATTGTAACACAGGCAGCCTGTGAAAAGAAAAAGTTTTCGTATTCTTATCGTGCTCCTTTCGACGATATTTACGGTGCAAAGAGTAAATTCATTCTATGGATAGAAAGAGAGGCCACTAACTTTATTTTCTGTGGCGTTTATTCCGGCGATGAAGATGATCTGTCCAGCTCCAAGGGACATAGAAACACTCAGTCGAATTTGAGGGAGAGGTTGACGAACATCTCTGATGAAAAAAAAGTAAAAAAACAATGAATTAGACAAAGGCAACAACAACAATAACATCAACACACACTGAGTACATCAGAACAACAAAATTGAATCAAAAGATGCAGCAAAATATGGCTAAAGATATCAACTAAATCTTGACATCAAAGGAAAGAAGAAAAACAGTAAATAACTCTAGAAAGGACAAAAAAAAGGGAAGCATTACGAGGAAAATAGCTTAACCGAAAACAATTCATAAAACGTGAAACCATGAGCTTTTCAAGCGCTCTTGATGGGGCATGAAATCGACTTTGAATTTCTTAGTTATCTGGCTGGCTGGCATGCATGTTCTTATTGGCATGGAGATTTGCATTGAGATCTCTTTTCTCTCTAGCCTACTTGAGGGGAGTTAAGAATTTACGTCACTAATATTCAGGTTCATTACTTACGTGAGGCAAGAATAAAGTATTAATGTTAAAAGTATCCCGACGATGGAGAGGCTCAGTCCCACGTAGGTGATAACTTTCAGAACTGTTTCGTCCTCCTCGGTGAGCTGTGTCAAAAAAGAAAAAGAAATTTAAAATAAAACATTGAGGTATTTAATTGAGCCCATAAAATTATAGAGTAAGGCAAAAATTATTTGATTACCTTTGTGCTACCGTCGTAGTCCATTAAGACGGCGAAATGCGTCAAATGATTGCAGCTGCAAACTGTTTCTTCTGAGTTGCTTTTTGATGTAACTACATGGCATCCTTCCTCTGAAAAGCCTTCTGACCTGAAAAAAAGTAGGTCGACAAAGCGCACAAAATTGTTCATCGTTTTGGAAGAGGCGATGTTTGACAATTTTGCGCTAAGTTTTTCCTTCATTGTAGTCTTAGCTGCGAGAACATTTCAGTCAGACTTCCTCTCTCTAAAAACGCCAACATGTTGGCCTCCAGGGAAAATCTTACTAAGAACGTTCATTCATACTCCTTCATACTTAAATCAATTTAAGAAGGAATAAATACTGAACAATAATATATTGCAGTTTTATTTTTACCTATTGCTGCTGCCACTCCAAAACATACAACGCTTCTCTGCTGTCAAGACCTGAAAATGGATTTTATCTTGTCAGAATGAATCATAATAACGCGTAACGACTAATTTTAATGTTACCTTAAGGTTTTTGAACTTAAGGATGACATTTTCTCCCAATTTATTTGGCTTGGGGTCCATAGTTATGGCCATTATCCTGGAGTTGATATACCTATGAAGAAATTATATTTGAAAATGAACCAAAACCAAGGAATCAACAAGCATATACTCTCGTTAGATTCAAGCGAATTTTTATTGAAGGTGGAATAGTCTGAGACAGGCAGGGAGACTTCCAACCTTAGATGGAACTTTTGACAGTTTCTAAGGTCAGTTTAGTTGAACTTGGGTCTTACGTGTTTCTGTGATGTGTGTTTTTGGGGAAAGGGACATACAATAAAATAAAAATAACATCACCCTTTGTTGACTGTTTTATTCCTGATAGGTTGATCTGTCAGAAGTAGGTCATGCAGATCCTTGTACACAAAAGCAACCACCAATGATCCTTAAAACCCCCAAGAATCAACAAAAAATAAGTTATCAAAAAAAAAAAAATAAAATAAACCACAAAATTAAAATTTTCATCATGACATTAGAAGGAAGGCAAATGATTCAAGAAAATAGACTATGTAAACTAATAAACCGCATTTTTTTGAGGATTTATTCAGAAATTTCGATTGGAGAAACCAAGGTAACTAAAAGTTGTAAAGTTAACACGCCGGTTAATACGAACCATTTTCCTCAAAATTTGAAGAAGCGATATCGATTCTCGCTTGCCATCGTTGTTCCTCAAAGTGGAAGTAACTCGCATTCTGGCGATAGGCTTTTTGAATGGCCAAAACTGTCAAACCGAGCGAGAAGAAAGGTTTCAAAATTTTGAAGGATTTCTATTCTGTCTTATTGATTGTTTAAAGATACTTTTAATTTCCTTCACGGCAAAATTTTAAAGTATCAAACAAATAAAAAAAAAACAAAAAAACAACCAGACATCGATAATATTCAACAATAACGTTTCAGGCTTATAAATGAGTTCTTACATTATCTAGGAAATTATGCCGCTCAGTCGGTCTGTCAGCAAGTCATTAAGTAACAGAGAAATAGACTTTAAACCTACAGGACTGAAGGCCGCAACCTCACCCATTTTTGGGTACACGATCCTTTTTGAAAGCCTCATTCCACTCAGGTGCTGCTTTCCATAATTAAGAGCAAATTTCTCGACGGCCTCTGCCACCTCAAAGATGGATTTTCTTAGAGTCTTAACCTCTTCCATGTTGGCCATGTCTTTTGCGACGTTCGCGATATTTATGGTGAAATTTTCAAACACACCTACAGCCTCCTGCAATGACGTAAAATATCTCCAGGTCATTAACTAGCCAGTCTCATAGATACAATTGATATTAAGAAGGCGGAAAAAGTCTAGCAGGAGGCCCTCGATGGTGTCCAGGGTATTCATTGTCAAAATAACTCTTTTAGGAGCCTGGATTATTTTTTCCCATTTTTCACCATTTTCACCTCATATGGCTTGAATGGTGGTTTATCCTGAAAGATCAGATATTTACTTTTATGGTTTAAATAGATATATCAAAGTTAAAAGCCTTCAAGTTATGAAAATTGGATACCTTTATGGAAATATTTCTGGTAATGTTTATTCCGGATAATTTTGACACAGAAGCATTTGCCTAGAATTTAAAAAAAAAATGTCACATTTATAAACAGAGAAGGTCCCGAAAAGCGACATGCATAGAAACGTAAATGACTATTTAGAACACAAACCAGCTCCTCGACTGTCCTTAAAAACCATGACAATGGTGTTGTTGGCGATGGCGATGGCGATGACGATGCTGGAGATGGATGAGAATGGAAAATCTTGGATTAGAACGAGATGTCAATCGAGCTGTTACAATGTTTTACGGCTTTCCTCTCAGCACGATTGTATATTTTTCCAACTATTGGAGAGCGAATGACAGGAAACGCAAACGGCATAAAGGTTCGAAAATTCAAGCTTGTCATATCGCTCAATTTACAAAACTTGGATGAAACAGATGTTTTATAATAAGTGAACGCTTGTGAGGATCACTTTGGGTTCCTTTCAACACAGGTTTTGCTAAATGTGTCATAACACCATATGTCGCCAATGTTACGAAGTGCTCAACTTGAAGTGTGCTATGCCAACGAAAACTATTGGAATACATTACCTCGAATATCCCCGTTGTTAACAATGACGTGGGAGGAAAATACAAACGAGCTATGGCTTTTGTTAATTGATTAGGTAGCTGGGGAAATGGTTTACTACTCGGCTATTAGCTTGATCGCGATACTCGCCGGTGTTAATTTCTGTACATGTTTGTTTGCACCTTACACCATTGCATCTTCGATTACAATGATCACCGGTAAGTTTCGATTACATTGAGCACCAGCAAGTCTGTCGGGTCCCCCCTCCCTTTTCATTTTGTACCTTTTATTTCTGAGGATGGGTCATTTGTTGTGCTTGGGACATATTCCACGTCATTATAGTGACCCATTCCTCTTACCATATCGTTGTGTACAAGGCGGTTCAACTTAGTCTTGGTAAGAGTCCCGCCAAGAGTTTTGTCCATCGCTCACATGTACAAGTTAGGGGAGCTGAGCATATTCTGTGAACAATATCTTCTTCTTAAGAAGCAAGAGCAATTTTCCTGACACAAGTACAAAACTGTAATATTTCAGCATGTAATATACTTTATGGTTCGATTGTGATCTTACCTTCGGGAATCTCGCAAATGTAGGCACCTGCATGATTCCAAGGGATACCATTAAAGAGGCCTCCATTCTTGGATATTTCCGCCTTTTTTTCGTTACCATCTGGCTCAGAATCTCCATATTTCGAAATATTTAGTTTTTCTCCACTCAGCCAAGTCCAAACCTCGGCTATCTTCCATAAACCAATGTGCCACGCACTAGTACTCCAAGTACCACGCTTTTGAATTTCATATTTGATAAACTTCCATTCTTCTTCAGTTTCGATGGAGACTAAGTCACCTCCCTGGCTGAAACAGACATCCCTGTTCTGATACCAACCTCTTCCACTTTTCGAAAATATGTAAGAGGAGTTTTTGAAACAGGTTGCTCGGCACTCTATAAGAAAAAAAAATAAAGGACAAAAAATAGACAAAAAAATGTAGACTGTTGTAACAATAGTGATAATTCTGATGGTGGAGACAAAGGAATAAATAAATAAATCATTGTTTACTGATCATAACAATAGTAATAACGATATAGATGAAGAAGAGAAAGTATATTTCTATACCATTAACATTGATAAAAAAAAACAATGGGCATCAAAACTTTCTACCTCACCAAAGGAAAAATTAGAACTAGGCAAGATTTTAAAAGTGGAAATTGGGGAAATCAGGGTAATAGCACCGTTAGTCTGACTTTATTTTATTTTTGCTTTCCAACTAACGTTTTTTAATCGCAAGCCGATGTAATTCCAGGAGGAAGTCTATCACTAATCATTTTGATAATTCAGTCAAATCCTTTCTTTTTTTCCGGTTAATTTTTATGGTACATAAATATTATATTGGAATGACACTCTCTCACCTGTTCGTGGCAATTCCATCATCAAATGAAGGATGACTGTAGAAGAGAAAATGAGATTGTTATGTCGAAAATAACGTTTGAAACAACTAAAAAGTTTATTAGATTTCGAGGTAGACTAGTACTAATGCATTTTATTCGCTGCATGCACTTTAAAACCTACCTATGACTTTTCTTACCTTCCCCTAGGAGCTTAGGGATGCGTTTCATCAGATGTTTAAGTGATTATAATTCAAGGACCATCTTCAATTTGTTATCTATCTCTTGCCTTTAATTTTGTTTAATTGAAACTTAAATCTAAAATGGAAATGAAAGGAAATTGCGGTAAAAAATGCCAAAACTTTAGACAGTTTTTAACTTTTCCTCGAAGTAACCGGGATGGGCGCTTATTCCTTTGGGCAACGACTTCACATGCTTAGAGCAAAGCAAATACTTGTGCCTTATAGCTTTGTTTTTCCCAGAATCATCACCGAGAGGTCAAACGTATGGATTAGACATTTATTTGTAAGTTCAAAAAGTTCAAAATTGTCGCTTCTCGGAACAGATAACTACAATATAAATATTTACAACTTATTCGATGCCGACATTTTGCGCGATATTATTCCAAGTCAAGAGAGTGCCGTTGGGAAACCATTCAAGTGTTCTTTATAACCGTCAGAAAAGTTTAATGGGCTAAGAAATTTGTTGCTTAAAAAAGGGAAAAAACAACAACAACAATAATATCCGTTTGGTAGGTGCAGCCTTCTGTTGTTCCGCTCTCCGTCCGTATTTTTGCACTGTTGTACAGTGGAATACCGTGAGCATGTTCCATTGTCCAAATAAATGGCTTAAATGGCGTAGTAGCGGAGTGATAAAAAAGTATATCTTTCGACAAATGACCCTATTATTATTTCAAAAAAAAAAAAAGACAAAAAAGTGATTTGAGTCGAGATGAAAATTGTAAATGAAGACAGTAAACGTAAAAATTTTGCTTTTTTTTCTCTTTTTCTAACTGGGTTGGAATCATTAATTTACCGTCTACTGGGTTTTGGCGTCCATTTAGAAAATAAAATTCAACAACTGAAACCGATAAGAAATTCGAGGATGCAGGGAATTTATTAAAGGGGAATAAAAGATGAACCCGTCACAAGCTGAACTGTTGCTGACGGCATTTATTATGATAAACACTTGTCCAAACTGGCCCTCTGTTTATCACAATTATTTTTTCGACTTAGCGTTTTTATAAAATGAGCACGAATGCAACTCCCATTTCTTTTCGTGCAAGATTGTTTAAGTGAAACGTCTGAATTAGTTTTAGTCGACTAACTCAATTCGTTTTTTTCGCGAAAAAGATCATATATAGTGTCTGTTTATTTCTCGGTTAACTTATGGTCACAGCAGCTTCATGAGGTAGGCGACTATGTTATCGTGTTCCTGAAACCTTATATAATATTTCTGAAAGGCTTTGCACTAAACGTCCATTAAGACACAACAATCGTGAATTATAACTACCATTTCAATTTTAAAACCGCAAAACTGTTTCAAAAATAAAAAATATCTAGATCTAACCAGACACTATTTACTTAACATTTCCATAACATAATCGGAAGATGTAGTAGAGCTTCGGTTGTACTTACTCAGAGCAGAGTGTAAAAACAGGGCTGTGAACATTTTACCGGATTGAAGCCCAATTCTTCAAGCTTATGATATAAAGAAGTTGCCCCCAGCAGATGCCAGTACGCTTATGCTATATAGTTCTTAACATGAAAACAACACCGACGCGACAGATTGTGTAACGTATTAACACTCTTTTGATGGCGGTAATATGACACATGATAATACTCGATCGCTTCTCACTGACACAAGCCACCACTATTTTTTTCCTTCATAAAAGGACCAATGAAGCTAATAAAAGGCTTTTTCCGCCAGGTGCAGAGGAATTGTTCGCTTCAGCAAAACAGGAAACTCACTATAGTTAGCTATATAGAAATAGCTATATTAGTTTACATTTTCTTATAGAGCAGATAATAATAAGTTGATAAAATACGTTTTTAATAAAACTAGTTCATGAATCATGTTTAAAGTTAGTGGTCTTTTGTAAATCAGTATTTTCCTACCGGAAGCTTTATGGAGTATTCGATCTGTTCAACTGCACGGATGCAAGAAATTACCATCTATCCATCAAATAAATGAAGCTGCTCGTTGAAACTGATAACGTTTACATCGTATTTTAATAACTTCACCAGCGGGACTGATTCTATAATACATGTATGGGGAATAAACCAGGGGAAGTAGAAGTCCTCTGGTGAATTCATATCAACGCTGCATGTATTGTAACGACATGCAGGGGAATCCAGCATTTCTCTGAGTCTGCGAGAAACACAATGACATCGATATTTGTTTATATAGTAATTGGGAGAGTGGAATACCAAATAATAAGGAGGGAAGCTCGAGCGCTCGAAGGAAGGCGCGCAGAGGACACAAATAAGTGAAAACTTTCCCTTTAAAGAGACGAAAAGTGTCCTTTATGGCTCCTCAATATTATAGACCAGTCTAGAAGGGGGGGAGGGTGGGGGAGGGTAGGATAAAATTTACCTTATCCTTCCATAGGGCTCTGTGTGATATTCTTATCCTTCCTCATTGGCAATTAACAATCACTTTTGTATGATTCGAACCTTTGTAATCTGTTGGTGAGACTGATCGATCTCAGTTAACCACCAAAACCGTGCTATCCTCCTTAAAAACCTCCTGACCCCTTTCCCAGGCGACTAATTATAACTAATTCATTATTTCTGACTTCAATAAACGCAGCATCCTTACAAAGAGAAATAATTTTGACCTTTTAACAATCAACGTTTTGAGGAAGTTGCCGAAAAAAATTCACCTGATCGCAGATAACTTGCTCATTAAGCACTGCATTCTCCTGCCCTCTTCCGCCGCAATTCCATTCGAAAAAAAAAAAAAAAAAGGAAAAAAGGCCGCCCTATCGCACGTTATAAACCACCTGTTCGACATGGAACTACTTCGATGATTCAGAAAACTTTTTTTTCCTACGGGAGTTTGCTAGTTGTCTATTGGATTGAATAAAAATATCGCTGTTCACGAGAATTGGAAAAGCGCTTTAATAACAATGCGGCCCGCCTTTAATTAGTGCGCTATAGTTAACTCTATCGCACTTTGGCATTTACTTCACGCACCTAACCATTTGATTGACAGCAGCTGAAATCTACAAGTGACTCAAGCATTCCCAAAGCTAAATGTGTTGACCAATCACAGCTGCCTAGCTCTAGGCAAGCAAATTGATATTCCGATAGTTGATTAACTGGGCACTGTAAATCAATGTCGCAAAAGACAATAACATTCTGCGCGATGCAAGACCACCGAAAGTTTAAATACCCTTTAAATTGCGTACGTTTTTGAACTAGTGAAATTCTTCTACTCTGTGCACTGAAAGTAATATGCAGCCAAAATGATCACAAAATAACATTGTACATGTACTTACTGCAAACTTATTTTGCGCTAATATTACAATGTAGCATAGTTTTTAAATAAATATGTTTAAAAATAATCCTTACGCTTTGATTGTTGATGTCAAAGTATAGCTATATGCATCTTTCCCTGATGCTTCTCGGACAAAAAAAAGTGGTTTTAAACGTCCCCTCTGTGGGCAACATTTCTAAGGGGCAGTTTTAGACACCACTACGCGGTTCAACTGGCAAACCTGCCGAATAAACGAGGTTATGTTGGTCTTACGCGTACCTGACAACCAGGAACGTGCAGCAGACCCTTACTGGGGCAATGTGACTGAGAAACTATCAGAAGTGCTATTTAACTTCCCGCAGACGGGAAGGGTTTCACCATGATGGCGGCCCACAGTGTTAGAGCCCCTTGTTGACATCAATGAAATGAAGCAATTTTTCGTGGACGCGTAAAATGCTCCTTATTGGGATCTGGGAGGGGGAGATATTAGAGGGGGATCCCATGGTTTTAAGGGGGCAAGGTTGGGGATCAGTCGTCACCAACAAAGTACAAAAGGAGGACTAGAAAATTTCGGATAAAACCGTTGCGCAATTTGTCAACGGGAAACGATTATGTCGCTAGTCGTGTTAATAATAATAATAAATAATAATAATGACAATCTTTAATGAGGAAACTTTTTCACTAAAAAGTGGTTTACAAAAAGGACCTCGAAAATTAAAAATTAAAAATTTACAATGAATAAAAATGCTAAAAGATGCTACTAAAAACTAATGTATCTTATGTGTAATACAAAACTTAAATCAATGAATTAAAAATCTGACGCTTCAAAATATTTACATTATCAGAGGCTCGTATAGTTTTGTCCAGCGAGTTAAAATCACTTACAGCATGATAGCCAGTTCTTTGTTTGCCCCAGTTTCTTTTAACGGATGGAATTTTGAGGTTTGCTTTATTTCTTGTGTTGTAACTATGCTGTTCTTGCTGAGTGACTAATGTTAGTTCGTGATGCGTGAGACCATTAAGACATTTATATACATGTACGCATCGGCGCTGGAAGCGCCTTTTTTCTAGTGTTAACCACTTCAGTGTAGTTAACGCATCAGACGCAGAGGAATACAGTGGTCGATCTAATATTATTTTAGCCGCCTTATTTTGAAGCACTTGCAAACTAGACATTAAAGTTACATTATGTTTGTCTCCCCAAACTAAATCAGCATACTCGAATAAGGGCATAACAAGGCTTTTATAAAAAAGGATGCGCGCCTTAAACGGTAACAAATGCTTAATGCGTCTAAGTAGGCCAAGCCTTTGATTAACTTTCCCTGCCATGTATTCGACATGATTTGTCCACGAAAAATCAGACGATATTAAGATTCCAAGATATTTAAAACAAGTAACATTGTTTATACAATGATCAAAGATTGAAACAGTTAGAGCTATTTTCCTCTGTAACTTCTTGTTACTGCCTATAAGCATGCATTTGGTTTTGTCCAGATTCAGTGTTAACTTATGTTCATTCAGCCATTTCGCCACAGCCAGGAGGTCTTGGTTGAGCTTTTCAGT